GGGGACGCGGGTGTGTGCTTCGACGGGGTTGTGCTCAGCGGGCCGATCACTGTGGTGGTGGACCTGTCGGCGATGGACGCGTTCGCTGACGCCCTGAACGTGACGCTGCGGCACTGCCTGCTCGCGGGCGGCGCGCTGCTGCGGATCAGGGGTGTTGACGAGGGCGCCGCGGGTCTACTGCCTCGTGTCCTTCTGAGCATGACGAACGTGACGGTGGAAGAGGGCACAGTCGTGCTGCAGGGAGCGCTACCGTCCGATTCGATCGTGCTGCTGGCAAACTCGACAATGCGCGCAACGAGCAGTGACTCGCAGTACGTGCCGACGACACCCGGCGAGGAGAGCTTCAAGTACGGGCCGGCACTCGTGCTGGACGGCGTGCGTCTTCTGAGAACGCAGTTCGTTGTGACGCGGACGTCGCTGACGTGCGAGGGAACGACGTGTTCCGCGATCCTCGTGGAGCACGGCCTCAACATGAACCAGTCGAGCACTTTCTACATGGACAACTGCGTCGTAAAATCGTCAATGTACGTGATGAACTTCATCTCGTCCGACTTGGGGGTCGGTGGCGGCTCCGTGTTCTCAGTGCAAAACAGTTCGTGGAGGTCCTCCGGAACAACGTACACCGCCGCGGCATGGCTGTGTAGGAATGTAGTTGTGAATGGTGGCAGCGTGCTGCAGTTCATGTCAAGTGTGTTCCGTGTGAACTTTATCTTGTTCTCGGCTGACACGCTGACTGTCGACGACGGCAGCTGGTTGCTGTACCGCGACAACGAGTTCCGTGCCTACTACGTGATGTACGTGCCAGACGAATCACGCGTGTGGTTCCGCAATCAGAGTGCGTGGTCGATACTCCGCAACAGCTTCCTCCCCGGGACGTTCTCATCGTTCTATGCGTATTTGGTAAACTATTGGTATTCTCCAGTGTTGTCGAGCTCGACTGTGTACGGTGCGTGCAACACGGTGATGGGCACCGATGTGACTGACTACGGGCTGAACCTCGAGCTACACGTGGAAGTGACGTCACTGGACTGCGGTGAGTGCGCACAGTCGGCGGAGTGCTACGCCGCGAGGACAAGCGGCATCAGCGGCTGCAAGTGCGAGTGCGCTCCCGGCGGCCACGGCGACCTGTGCCTGCCGGCGGCGGTCCCCGATGGCCTCGGGCCGCTCCCCGTCTCGAACGATACGGACAAAAACAACACGGAAGTCCCATGCGTGTACGGCGGCAGCCTGAGCTCCGTGAGTTATCCTGACTCCGGTGTGCTCGGGCTGTGCTTTGTCGACGTCACCTTCACGGCTCCCATCACAATCGATGCGCATTTGTTCGACGCGCCGCAGCAGATAATCAACATCACGCTGCTGCGGTGCTTCCTGTCTGGGATGGCGATCACAGCAGGCGGGGAGCGCGTGTACGTGAACGTGTCATCCTCATCGTTGGAGACGAGTTATGTGCAAATTATGGGTAGTTTTGGGGAGAACTCTCAGATCCTGTTCGTGGACAATGTGTTTTTAACGGCAATCATCTACGGCTTGTACATCCAGTGCACTCTCGGTGTGAACTCGACGATGTTACTTCTGCGCAACCGCATCGCTGCGTCCAGTTCCGCTGTGTATTTCAGCACCCCTGTGGTGCTCGACGGGAGCGGTATCATCATACAGGAAAGCACGCTGATGACAGAAGGCAAAGATTTCTACGCATATTCTGCTGTTTACATAAACTCGCTAAGCGCGATGAATGGCGGCTATTTGAGCATTGAAAACTGTACGATGGACGCTGCCACCGGCGTGATCATCATGAGTGGCGGCACCGTGGCGTCCAGGGGGTTGCTGAGTGTGGCGAACTCCACCTTCGTTGGCAGCACAGAGGTTCCGACTACCGCGCTGGTGCTTCTGTACGACGATATGATATTTTCTGGTGGAGCACAGTGGCGTGTGGTGAACAACAATGTGCGTTCTGCGTCGATCTTCTATCTGATGGGCAACTACACCATGAGTTTGGCGGACAGCGGCACCACCGTGGTGCTTGCACACAACCGTCAGGAAGGGTCGGCGCCGCCGTTTGCTCAGGTGACGACATCGACAACGACTGTGGCGCCGCCCGCGCAGTTTGTGGTGGGGTGCAACATGCAGGACGGCACGGAGATCGCGTACGACGGCGTTTTCTTGAATGTGACGGAGTTTGTCTGCGGCACATGCAACAATGACGCGGCGTGCTACATGCCCAAGACAAGTTCGGTTGCAAGCGGCACGTGCTCATGCACCTGCGAGGATGGAGGGCATGGGCCGCAGTGTCTGCCCTTCGAGGTGCCCGACGTCGCTCTGCTGCCCACGCCGGAGAGGCCCGTGGACACTGACACGAGCTGCGTCGCGGACCAGACGCTGACGACCCTCTCGCTGAACATGTGGAAGACGCACCACTGCTACGTCGGTGTAACGTTCAGCGGCACGGGTGCCGTAGCGACTTTTCGGTTCGTGCAGATGCCGCTGCAGCACCCCATCAACATCACTTTCTCTGGGTGTACTTTCCTCGGAGGGGCCGCGCTGCACTTCGTGGGTGGAAGCACGGCGGCCGAGAACTCCGGCGTCTTGGTGCGCGTGAGCAAGATAGTGATGGAGTCGTCTGTCGTATCGTTTTCGGGCGGAATGCCGCCCGGTTCCGACATTGCCGTAACGGAGGTAGACGCTGCGCAGTCGTCCTCAGTCTTGTTACCAGGAGGTAATTTCAACACGATGAGCGTTGTTGCGTTGCAGAATGTGGCGCTCTACGCCTCGTCTTCGCTGCTGATCAGCAACGTAAATGCCACTAGAATGGGCCCTGGTGGTGGGCAAGGTGTGTACTCGACGGGGACATTGACGCTGGAGAATGGCAGCTCGCTGTATGTGAGGTACTGTCGCTTTGCAGGGTACACGTACTTGTTCTATGTGTTCACTGCCAGTGTTAGGGATCACTCCGTGGTTGCGTTGCTCAACAGCACGATGACGTTGGGGACCAGCCTCCTATACCAATTCCTGACAATCGAGATACAGGACAGCAGTGTTTTCCGGGTTGTGGGGAATAGTGGCCCTGTGACCAACGGCATTTTCCTGTATGATACTTGGACCGTCCAGGGGTCGAGCTGGCTGGATTGGCGCGACAACGACGTCGGACAGGGTTCCCTATTTTGGTACTCTTCGTTTTTCAGTGCTGTTGACATTGACGGCAGCAGCGTGTTGACGCTGACGGGCTGCAAGATGAGCTCCACGGGCCTGGGTGGCTCACTG